TGAATTATGTACATATGTGTGTGCCGGTGTGTGGGTGTGTTACATGTGAGTGTCTGAAGAGAGCTAAGAAGGGGGAGCTCCTGGAGGAAGAGTTACAGGCAGTTGTGAGCTGCTCCATGTGAGTGGAATGGGATTCTGGGTCTCTGCAGGAGTAGCAAACATGTTTTCTTTCTTACAAAAAGATTTATTCATTTTTATTTTATGTGTGTGAATGTTTGTGTGCATGTATGTCTGTATACCATGTATATGTCTGATGGTCATAGAGGTCAAAGACTAAAGTAATGGATCCCCTGGAACTGGAGTTATAGGCAATTGAGCGCTGCCATGTGCATGCTGGGAACCAAACCTAGGTCTTCTGGAGGACCAGCCAGTGCTACTCAGCACTGAGGCATCTCTCCAGAGCCTTGGAATCAACATCTGCAAGGGTAAACTGGAGAGTGAAATGGCTGCCTAGTGAGAGTTGAACATCTAAAAAATGTGACATGCTTCCCTTCTTCCCTGGTTCCCAGCAAAGTAACAGAGAGTTTTGTTTGTTTTAAAGGCCCCATTTCCCCCAATGAAAACTTGGGGGTTAATTTTCAGCGTGGTGCCTGGGGACTGAGTGGTGGGGCTCTCATTACCTATAATGGGAGTCAAACCAATTCCCTCTGTGCATGCTATATGGAAAATGCACCCCTCGGTAGCTACAAAATTTTGGTTTTGAAATTGAGGCTGTCTTTTTTCAACACAAAGCAGATTTCTAGAAACACCCAAAGCTATCCGGTATTGGCCTGAGGCCCGTGTGAGTTTGTGTGTAAGGAAGAAAACACTTTTCTGTGCATGTATAGCCCCTCTTCGAACAGCAACATTAAAACATTTCACCTTGTAGCTGACGGCAGTAGTTGCTGGATCTCACCCCAAAGCTTTGTGGAGAACCCTATAAACCTGGCACACAGTTTGTGACACCCAGTGAAATGCTGCACTTTCCCATAATAACCTGAGCCCTGCTGCCTGTCATTAAGGGACCTCTCTTATTAAACATCTCTTTTTTTAAATGGCTGCCATCATCTGGTCCCAGTGTACATTAAATCCCATTATAATTATAAACACACTTTACCATACCATCCCTTGCAGATCTCATCCACACTGCCTACCCCCTCAGGGCATCTTTGCACTAATAACAGCTCAGATTTGCTATTTGAGTTGACAACATTAGGCCCCCAACATCATTTGCAATATTCTGGATAGAGAAAGGAAAGAAAACACTTTCTTGTCCTCAATCACAAAGATCTTGGGGGTCAGAGTGACCCCAAAGCTGCTGAAGCTAAAAAAAAAATCCCTCCTTTGTTCCTCTTTGGAATGTTCTCTAGCCAGGCACATTGGTCCATGGAGGTTATACAGTGGGACCCTGTCTCAGCCACCCAATGGTTCCCATAGATGCCGGTGAGGGCATCCTGGGCAGCTAGAAAAGATGCTGAAGTTTGCAGTCTCCACCGTTCAGTGCCTCATGATGGAAGAAAGGTGATGGAAATGATCTGACTGGATTTCCTGAGCCTAAAGTACCAGAACATACAGGTCACCTCAATACTTTGCTCTTTGATTTTTGGAAGTGTGTCTCACAACATTGTTCCACTTAATTCACTTACAGAATGCAGAATAGGTGTGCACACCACACTTAGTGTATTGTGGTGGTGAGGAATCAAACCCAGAACTTGATGTTTGCTAATCAAGAACTCTGTGTAGTAAACTGTATCCTCAGCCCAAAGACTTGAGACTCGCCATTCACAAGCAAGTAAAACACTCAAGCTCTTGAGCGTCTTTTAGATGTCTTACTGTCATTCAAACCTCTCTTTCAATAGTCTGAGATCCAGGGGAAGGAAACAAAGTGCAGGAAGCCTTATATAACAGTCAGAGTCACTTTGGCTGGTGCGCTGCTAAGGAGCCCTGTCCTCAACAGAGGGAGAAAAGGAAACTAAAAGCTCCTGTTTGTTTCTTTGGTTCTTGTTGGGAACCAAAGGTAATCTAGGCATGAAGAACCGAGCTGTGCTATTACACGTTGTGATTCAAAGCATCATGTTGGATTCGAACAGTCTCTGAGCTCAGGTTTCTTATCTCCCCAAATGAGGATGGTCATGAAATGCCAACAGGGTTGTTAGAAGGATTAACTAAAACAAGACAGGGAGCAGGGAACGCTCTGCATGAATTATTACTCCCACCACCTCCTTCTTACATGTTTCTCTCAGACTGGATATACTCTTCCACTAGCTGAGCTTAGAGAGACTCCGTGGCTGGGAGGTACATAGGGAAAAGAGGGGATGAAGGAATGAGGGGTCTGTGGTGGGGTTCTGCCCAATGGTTGGTCAGCTCACCTCTGTCTTTGCTTCTAGCATGACTAAGACTGAGGCTTCTTGCATTTTGTCAGAAAAGCGTAAATCAAGGTTCTATGTTTTGTTTTGTTTTTGAGAGAAGGTCTCACTTGGGTACCTGGTACTGGCCTCTAATTCTCGGTTTGACTTGTTACTGTTTCCATAGTCCTGGGGTAAAAAGAAAGTACTACCACATCCAGTGGTCTTTTGCCTTTTTAGGAGCTGATTTTTTCCAGTTTCTCTACTACATCTTTGAAGAAAAAAAATCCAAAAATGAGGGGGGGGGGGCTGTGTCTCTGATTTTCCCATTCTGCTTGTTTTTAGGCCTTACCATAAGAAATCTCTCAACTGGGAATTCTCATTGCTTTCCAGGACCTAAGGACACAGCTCTGGCTGTAAATGGTGCTGGTTTGGGAGTGGGGGCTGCTGCTGCTTTATCTGGGCCCAATAAACCTTATCAAACTGCTGTTCGGCCAGCCTTCATCGCTAAGTGGAAATGGCCTGGAGCCCAATGCTGGCACCCAGCCCACAGCCTCGCCTGCCTTCTCCCTTTCTGTTACCTTCCCCACCTCTTAAATCTGGGCATTACTCTCTCTTTAACACTTCCTAACAAGGGCTGGGCTCTTTAATGGGCAGAGTTTATGAAGCAAGGGAGATTTTCACATAGAGTGAATATGGTTGGGGTTGGGGGGAGGCCAGAGGCAGGCAGGAATTGTTCTTTCGGTTCCATTGTGTCTACGGATTCTCTTTCTCTGATTTGAGGATTAATGGGAGAATAGGATCAGGGGTTAATCGTGTGCTCTCCGGTGACTGCTGTAGAGAGGGTGGTAGGTGGATGTGGCCCCGAGATAGCAAGTCCTCTCTAGACAGGAACTCAACAAGCTCAGTGCTCCATCCCCATGGCCAGGAATCCACAGTGTGTGTGTGTGTCTTTGCCGCTCCCTTCCCTCATCCACTCTTGCTTTCTTTATATGGCAATTTCTTCTTAACTTCTTCAAATCCCCTTCGTCTTACAGAGGGTTGGCCTTAACTTGAAAAGTCAGGTAGCCTTTACACAAGGTTGCTTTTCGTTGTATTCCAACTGACTCCGGGGGGTCGGGGAGGGGGGCCTCCCCTTGCCTCATCCATGTGATGTTACTTGTGAGAGGGTAACTGAATGGCAGCTTTCTTTACTTTCCGGTGCTTCGTTCTGCTGACTTCTCTCTCCTACTGCTAATCTGAGAATTGGAGTGTCACTTGTTAGGATGCCTCATTATTATCAATGACCGTGGGTAAGCTTTGCCACCCGGTCTTCGTGGGTTTTTGTCTCCATTCACCACCCACCTTCCTTCTCGTTTAGCTTCTGGGGAGTCAAGATGTGATTCTGTGAGTCCGGTGGGAGATCCGTGGTAAACCAAGGACACAGCACCCCTAATCTGAAGCTTGAACTAAGACCTTATAACTTGAGGGTGGGGCTGTGTGGGTGACTTTTCTGAGACCCCTGGGTGGCGCTCTCCACCACACCCCCAACAACACTGCGCTGGGGCTTTTGCCAGAGGCCAGAGCTCAGAAAAGTACCTTCCACCCCCAATCCCCTGCCCAGCTTCGTGTGAAAAGGAGACGGAGCTTTCTACAGGTAGAGGAAGGACACATTTTTCTTTAGTTTCTCTAGCCTACGGTTTGTCATTTCAACTAAGCCCTTTAAAGTGGGCCAACCGCTGAGGGAAGAAAGTACTCCGGAGCGGCCCAGCGCTGTTCCAAGCTTCCAGTTGTGCTGGAAGGCTGGACTGAGGTAGGCGCAGGATCTTCAGAACTTTCCAACCAGGTTCCTGAGGCGGGGGGGGGGGTGATGGGGGGGAGGATGCCTGAGATTGGGAGTGACAAAGTATTACTACTCAGGCCTTGACATCCCAGTTTGCAACAATCTGGATTGCAAAACCGAAGTGCCTACCAAATCTTTACTGGCCCCTCTGGATTTATCTGGCCAAATCCCGATAACTGAACACTCAACCCTGCGAGCAAGCATGAGAGGCCTGGTTTGGGACTAGAGAAGCGACGCATTTACCCTAGTGTCTAGGGTAAGGGAGGATGCAATCCAAATCCCGAGGAAAAGTGAAAGGCTAGATGCCACACACTGAACTGGTGCTAATAATAAAAAAACGGGACAAAACTGCGCTCCTGAGAACCGGAGTTGGGGGGAGTTAGGGGCGCGGAATACATCGCATGCCCAGTGGAAATGAAAAACCTGGGGCTAAAGTGGGAACTGCTTCTCCCTCTCATCCTTCTGACCCCTTGGGGGTTGCCAGGTCCTCTGCAGCTCCTCTTCCTTGCAACCTTTAGCCCTTTCCACCTAGCCACGAGCAGCAGCCGCTGGCGCCGGGGCAACAGCTAGATGTCAGGAGAAGCCCGGAGCGCCGAGCGCTGGGAAGGGAGGGGAGCGCCCGGGAAGGGAGGGCAGGGCTGGGAGCGCGCACGGGCTCTGCCAGGGCGGGGGTGGGGCGGGGTGGGCGGGCCAGGGCCGGCCAGGGGGAGGGGAGGGGGCAGCTGTGGGCAGGGAGCCGGGCTCGGCCGCCAGCACTAAAGATGGAGAGGCGCCGGGGCCTCGCAGGGGAGGGGGCTCGGCGTTGACGTGGGACGCGGCGGAGGCGCCGCAGTCGGTGGTGATTTGCTAACCTAGCGGCAGAGAGGAGTTAAGGGTGATGAGAGCGGGTACTGCGAACTGCCGGGCGATGCCGCCGCTGCCGCCGTGAGATCCGGAGCAACAGTTCCCCAGCAACACCCCTTCCCCGATCCAGGCACACCCCTAACCCCCCAGGCACGCACACCCACCCCAAGCTCCAGGCTCCGCAAGCGGTAAGTGTATGTGTGTAGGGAACCCGGGAAGGACTCGCACCGCCCAGCGACCGCCTCCCGCCAGGGCGCCCTGGGGCGGGAGAGGTTTAGGCGGGTGGTGCTAGCTTTGGCCACTCGGACGCTGGGCTCGTGCGGGGTTCTGTGGTTGCTGCAGCAGCAGCGATCGTCCGTGCCGGTTGGGGGTCAGCTAGAAAACGGAGCCGAGGCTGTCAGCTTGGGCGCAGCTGCCTCACCAACCTTCCTCAGGGCACGGTCCGGTCCGGGTGAGAGGTGGCAGGCCGGGAGGTCTGCCAGGGCTGCGGGCGCGTGTAGTCGGGGACTGGGTGTCTTTGTACAGGCAAGGGCTGGCGGAGGAGCAGAGAGGCTGTGGGTGCTCATATGTATGCGGACCGGTGCGCTTGGCGTGAGATAGGATTGTGTCTTATTTATTTGTGTTTATTCGCTGGCGGGCTGGGGAGCTAGAACCGGAGGAAGCGAGGAGTGAACCTGGGGGGCGGGTGGGAGGGGACTGGTACCCGCTCGGGTTTTGTTTTCTTTAGAGAAAACGTGGTGGGATTTTTTTTGTTTTTGTTTTTCTTTTTCTTCTTGATTAGACTTGATGTCCCCTTTTAAGGAGAGTGGGAACCTTCGGAGAGACTCTGGCGCTCCGGGTCCTCCTCGGCTCTCGGTGGGAACAGCCCGTGGAGCCGGAGCTCGCTGTGCGCTCCCGGCCGCGCATGGTGGGTTCCCCGCTCTGCACCTGATGCATTCGGGATGTCGTTCCTACCCTGGCGCGCTGCAAGCTTGCCCAGCCCCTCGCACGCTCCCGCACGCGCTCGAAATGCGCACGATCCTGCCAGCTTGCGGACCCCACCGGAATGCACAGAAGCGCACCGCTTCAACCAGCTCGCCTCCTCCCCGCCACGCTCCCAGCGTGTCTGACTCGGGCACGCCGGCAGCTGGTGCGGGAGGCCGGGGACCCTGCTGGTGGCTTCCTGGGGATCCCGATCTTAGGTGGAAGGTGGAGGACCCAGAGATCTCGTCTCACTTGGTCTCCCACCATTGGCCTGGGGCTTTTGTGCTTCTTCTCCCCCGGGGGGGTTGAGCCGCCCGGCCGGCCTAGTAGCGGCGTCCAGCCCGCTCGGACCTTCTCCTTTCCCCGGTCTCTTTCGCTTTCCCCCCTTTTCTTAGGTCTGTTCCCTTTCTTCCAGGCACCTGACTCCCGTGGAAAAGTTGGCTTTTCCAAGTTTGCAAAAGTCCTATGCAAGTCTCGGCGGGGGTCTCTGGGAACAAGGGATGTGTTGAGCCACCGATCCTCGGAGCTCTGGCGGGTTAGCGCTGGCTTTGCCCAGAATCGGCTTGATCGCTGCACCTAGCGACGGTCGGATCGCGGGTGTGGAGCCGCGGGTTAGGGAGAGAGGGCACCTTGATTTCCCTAAGGCCCAGAGGACTCCTTTAGGGGGAAAGGTATTCGGCCAGCGGACCTTCTTTATTTTGGCTTCTTCTCCTTAGTTCTCTGAATCTCTGATCTCTCCCGAAAGCACACCATGTTTCACGAAGCCTTCGATGAATGGATATCTCACCCTTATTGATGCCTTCCGTTTCCACTTTGGGGTGGGCAGTAAGAGTGGCCAGCCACTACTGTTAACTCTTTCTACATGAATTTAGTACCTAAGAGTCCTTAGGACTCATGTCAAGGGTGAAAGCAAGTGCTATGAAGAAGAGTGGGTGAGAAGCCTAGCTCTCTCCACCTTCTCCCCAGGCTGTGTGAAATGTTGGCTACAGACAGACAGAGGTTGGGACCTTATCCCTTTATGGTCTGCCTGTGTCCCAGTGGCTGTTCAAAGTCGGGAGCCTCTCAGTCATCCATAACACACTCTGGGGGAGAGGCCTTTGTGTCCAGCCCTGTTTTTCCTTCCTTCTGGGCTTAACAATCACGCCAGAGATGCTGGTGCCAATGTCACTTACAGAACCATATTCAGAATCAGGTTTTCTTCTTTGTCACTGGGCTTGCCAACACCTGGGAGGCATCCAGTCCGGTGTGCACCCTCAAGGCTGTTGGGAACATACCTTCCTATGGTGTTATCTGCTTTCTCATTTTAGAGCGGTCTGTCCGTTGCGGGGTTGTGGGCCAAAAGTAAAAAGGAGGCTATATAATTGTAGGTGTGCACATGAATATACACACACACACAACAACACAACAACAACTTTGAGGAACTTGTGGTTACAAATGATTTAAGCTAGAATGTGGTGTGTTGGGTGTGTGTGGGGAGTGGGGGTGTGGGGGTGTGGTGTGTTTGTCATAGCCTGAGAATGGGTCTGCCAATCCTTTGCAGCCCTGACTTAAGAGGGCAAGGACAAAGGCCATAGAAACAGGATGACGGACAAGAGTCATGTCTGGGTGACTAGGAGAAGACAGCCTTGTTGCCTGCTGATAGGAGACCACCATCATGTTTAACAGCCCTGACTAGATCTGGTTGTCTCCTAAGGTTGTCTCAGTGAACCAGAACTAGAGAAACATTGAGGATGAGGGTTTGCCAATACGGGGGTGGGCAGGAAAGCGGAATGCTTAGGGTGACTTAAGGGGAGGGGTTGAAAACTCATAAATTTTAAGTAAGTTTGTGAGCCTCGTGGTGGAAGGCTGTGCTTTCGGGCTTACAGAATGCCTAGGATTCATTGCAATCTTCATTTCACTTTATCCGATGCATGCTTCAGAGCAGTGGGGAAAAGCATGTGGGGAAACTTAAACGTTTTTTCTCTTAGAACCTTGGGGTTGTTGGAAAGGATGATCATACATTTCTAGGAAGCCCACCCCCTCTTCAGTTAATCCCTCCCCCAGCCTCTTTCTGGAGTGGAGGCATACTGTAGTGTTTGAATTTTTCTTATAAGGGACATCGGGGAAGTTGTCACTTGCTCATCTCTTTTGTCTTCTCTTCTCCAGTCTCCTCTGCTGGCCCCGAAGCCTGCCCTGCCCCACCTTGCAGAGCAGAGAAGGAAAGAGAGCCCCATGCCTGAGCCCAGGGGAGCATCATGGATCTGACAAAGATGGGTGTGATCCAGCTGCAGAACCCTAGCCACCCTACGGGGCTGCTGTGCAAGGCCAATCAGATGCGACTGGCCGGGACTTTGTGCGACGTGGTTATCATGGTGGACAGCCAGGAGTTCCATGCCCACCGGACGGTGCTAGCCTGCACCAGCAAGATGTTTGAGATCCTCTTCCACCGAAACAGCCAGCACTATACTCTGGACTTCCTCTCACCAAAAACCTTCCAGCAGATCCTGGAGTATGCTTACACGGCGACACTGCAAGCCAAGGCGGAGGACCTGGATGACCTGCTGTATGCAGCTGAGATCCTGGAGATTGAGTACCTGGAGGAGCAGTGCCTGAAGATCCTGGAGACCATCCAGGCATCTGATGACAATGACACAGAGGCCACCATGGCTGATGGTGGGGGCGAAGAAGAAGAGGACCGTAAGGCTCGATACCTCAAGAACATCTTTATCTCAAAGCATTCCAGCGAGGAGAGCGGCTACGCCAGTGTGGCTGGACAGAGCCTCCCTGGGCCCATGGTAGACCAGAGCCCCTCGGTCTCCACCTCTTTTGGTCTCTCAGCCATGAGTCCTACCAAGGCAGCAGTGGACAGTTTGATGACCATAGGACAGTCACTCCTGCAAGGGACTCTTCAGCCACCTGCAGGGCCCGAGGAACCCACACTGGCAGGGGGTGGGCGGCACCCTGGGGTGGCTGAGGTAAAGATGGAAATGATGCAGGTAGATGAAGCCCCTGGCCAGGACAGCCCTGGGGCAGCTGAGTCTAGCGTCTCAGGAGGGATGGGGGACAAGCTTGAAGACAGGAGCAAAGAGGGACCTGGGACCCCAACTAGGGGCAGTGTCATCACCAGTGCCAGAGAGCTCCATTACGGGAGAGAGGAGAGTGGAGAGCAGCTCTCACCTCCTGTTGAAGCTGGCCAGGGGCCCCCTGCGCGACAGGAGTCCCTGGCACCCCCAGTGGAGAAGCATTTGGGCATTTACTCAGTGTTGCCCAACCACAAGGCCGATGCTGTGTTGAGTATGCCATCTTCAGTGACATCTGGTCTCCACGTGCAACCTGCCCTGGCAGTCTCCATGGACTTCAGCACCTATGGGGGTCTGCTGCCTCAGGGCTTCATCCAGAGGGAGCTGTTCAGCAAGCTGGGCGAGCTGGCCGTGGGCATGAAGGCTGAGAGCCGTCCTCTGGGGGAGCAGTGCAGCGTGTGTGGGGTCGAGCTTCCGGACAACGAGGCTGTGGAGCAGCACAGGTAAGTCCCTGCCGCAGCCCTGTGACTATGTTCTGGCTCGCATGGCATTTCTTTATGCCTGGCCCATCCTGAATTCTGGGGACCTGGCTCCTTTGTGATCCTTGGAAAACCAAACCAAACCATACCATTCTTTCCAGTATCGAGGCGTAGGAGGGCACGATTGTTTTCGGAAGACGGTGAAAAGAGAGGGTGTCTATCCGTAACATCAGGGAACTCATGGGCTCAGCCTGTAGGCCTTCTCTTCCGTTTTGCTTTTGGGCTTCCATTTGGTTTTCCTTTTCCTGTGGTTTGGTCTACACTTTTGTTTGCTTAGGGTAACTGTTTAATAATAAAGTGGTGAGAAAAATGCAGGAAGTAGAGTTCAGGTTGAGGGTCTCCTCTGGCCTGGATGGAGCCATGTTATCAGACTTTAGCCTTTTCTTTCCCCACTGGGCATAGTTTGTGCAGCCGTAGGCTGATGTTGGCAGCCTATGACGGAAGCAGGGATTGGATGTTGTTTAAATCCTGTATGTACCTACAGGTCTCAAATGTCTCTTCTGGCAGACACATTGTGAGGCAGAGAAAGCTCTAGTTAAGTTCAGGGAGAAAGACTCACAGAAGAATTTTGGTTTCACAGCCTGTATACTCAGTCTCTTCTCATGCTATCTCTTATCACAAGGGCTAGCCTTGGCTGCCCTCTGGCTTCTGGTTTCATCCTTACAACCCCCCTTCCCACTTTTGAGTCCTTGTGATGTGCTTGGTTTAGGACCAGTGCTTTACCTGCAATTGCACCTTTGTTACAATGTTCCCCAAAGGTAGGTAGTGTTTCTTTTACTAAGACACAGGAAAAATGCTGCTACTGAGTCCTACCAAGGCAGAAACATTCAAAGTAAGACTTACTGTGACTGATGGTTCCTTTTAGCCATCCAGTGAAGAAGAGGATCCTTCCTGCACAACAGGTTGGGGAGCACTGACCAGTGCTCTTAAGAGGGAGTCCACAGTGGGTTTGCGTTTTCTGTTTGCCCATCATTTTCTCCCTTCATCCCTGAGTCTTGACCAATTGCCCACAAATCTGGTTTTTTGTTGTTATGGATGCTAACCTTTTGCATAACTTCCGGCTGGCTGATTTGCTGATCTTGGGTGGACTTTCCACTTTCGTATGCACTCTTCCTCCTCCTCCATTCCTGTTGCTCATTCAGGTGGGGGGGGGGGCGTCTAGAGGGTGGGAAACTGATATAATCACCTCTAGCCGCAGTTTGCTCTGGGGCTTCCTGATCGGCGCTGAGCTGTACCTTATGGAAAGTGGCACTCAGCTAAAAAAGTAACCATTTCTTTTTCCAGAAAGCACAGAAAATAACAACTGTGGATATGTTGTCTTCTTAGTACTTGATCTGCTCAGAAACAGACGTGGTGAAATTACGCTTGTTTTTGTTCACGCTTTCCTTAAGAGGAAAAACTCCCTCTGAACCTTGATAGGTCTGTCATCACCTCCGGATGTGAACCTGGTGTGAAAAGTGGGGTATGGTGGAAAGTCAGTTGTTAAGGTCAGTGTTTGGGTGGGTGGGGGGCTAGAGAGAAAACTCCATTGGTAATCATGAGCACGTACGTAAAAAGCCATGCACACCAGCAAAAAAGCCAGGTCTGACAAAATGCAGCTGTAGTCATAGCCCAGGGGAGGTGGAGATAGACCGGAATCCTGGAACTCTGACCAGTCAGCCTAGTCAAATCCATAAGCGCCAGGAGCAACAAGAGATCTCATCTTAAAAATACACACACACACACACACACACACACATACACACACACTAAGATGTGAAGAACGATTGAAGATGTATAATGTGATTTCTGGCTCCCATAAGCACACACGTGTACTCACAAATAAAGTGCTTTTTTTCTGATTTTTTTTAAAAACTTTAACTTACTTGCTTGAGACAAGGTCCTACTGAATAGCCCTAGTTAGCCCGGAATTGGCTATGCAGACCAGGCTAGTCTTGAATTCACAGGCCCATCTGTTTGTCTCTCAAGTGCTGGGGTTAGGGTTGTGTACCACATGCCTGGCCTTTTTCTGGGTCTTAAATCTCCCAAGCCTTCCTTACAGAACCAAGAATTTTCAATGAGTCCATGTACATAATTTCTTTGTACTCAAGGAGGTCACAAAAGATGGAACTGTCCTGAGAGTTGTGGGTTCTCATGTGATGGGACCCTAATGGGGAGACATGAGGCTTGGCTGGCATCTGTTGGAGCTTCTTATGCTCAGTTTTAGAGTTAATGCTAACTGAAGTGACATCCAAAGTCACTGGGGCAGTGCCCAACATCTAGTCACCTTTGTGTCCTTCATTTTATTCCAGCCTTGTTCCACTGTTGGCTCCGAGCTCTTGTGTGTGGGGTTCCGAGCATTCCTGTGTCTTTTTGTTTGTTTGTTTGCTTGTTTTTGAGACAGGGTTTCTCTGTGTAGCTCTGGCTGTCCTGGAACTCACCCTGTAGACCAGGCTGGCCTCGAACTCAGAAATCTGCCTGCCTCTGGCTCCCCAAGTGCTGGGATTAAAGGCATGCGCCACCACCGTCCGGCGCATTCCTGTGTCTTGGAGCCTGTGCGAGGTGAGGTAGACTCTGTCCCTGTCCTCATAAACTTGTAACAGTGAGGCTTGATTCTGGAGTTCTTGCTGCCACACCATGTGTGAGAGTGGAAGTGAGTCCTTCATCCTGAGCAGCTAGATCTGGTGCCAGACCCCTCTGTGATGAGCTGTGAGATCCGAGGACATCAAGAGAGGGAGAAGATATTTCTCCGTGTGTGCAGCCCTGGATACCCTTAGATAGATGTACTTTGTGGGAGGCCTTTGCCGCCCTCCCTCTAGGCACCAGGATTAATGTACCACCTCCCCATTTCCCACTGTTATGGGCATCACCCCCCTCCCACCTATCATCAATTTGAGACATGTTCAGTGGAAGAATAGTCATCACAGCCAGGGGAGCAAACAGAAAGGCAAGATTGAAAAATCAGATGCCAGGAAGCCGTGGAATTGGCCAGAATCCTAACAGGGAGGACTGTGATAGGGTACAGGCCGCAGGGTTCATTTTATTTTAAGCCATCAGGTTAGAGTGTTGGTGCACACGAAGCATCTGGCATTTATTCTTGCTCTGGGGAAGAAGAAAGGGCAGAGTACAGAGGAGCAAGGCAGGAAAGGGGTTGTTGGTTATTGAATTACATCCATAGGTTTCTCTATAACTTGATCCCAACCTGGGATGGCCTGAGGGGAGCACCTCTTGCCTGGACAGACAATGGTAATGAAACTTTTGGGGTTTGTGTGTCATGATCCCCGTATCAAATGGTAGAATATCAAAGAAATAAGGAAGGATAGATGGATGGAAGGAAATACCAGACAGAGACACCACTTGGATAAATCAGGTGGACTTACTTAACTGACAGAATCTGAAGGAAGCCGACCAGTGAGAGGACACAGTTGAGCAGCAATCCTCTCCAATTTCGGGACCCCTAGATCTTTTCCAGTAGGCCCATAATAAAAGGACAGCATCTAGAGAGGGAACCCTCTCAGGCTCCTGGAAGATGGGATTCTCCTGTCTTTTTTTTTTCCTCTGAAAAACTGGAGCGGTTACGCCTGTGGGTTGGTGTTGATGTGGTCTGTGATCCGGTTCACCTGAATCAGATGCTCCTGACCCTCCCCAAGCTTACACAGTTGTCAGTAACATTACACAAGCAGCAGAGTTGACCCCTGTGGAGACATGGTCTTCCTTTATGGCTGTGTCTGCCCAACTCCCAGGACAGCTTTTATTGCATTCCGGCCCCTTGGTGCTGTAGAATCCAAGTGAGGCCTGGATCTTCTATAGGATTCTCTGCTGTATCAAATACTGACCAACCCTCAGGTCAGCTCAGTGGCTCTGCCACTTGGATTTAGTTCAGGCACCAAGGGATGGTCCCTGGCTGGCTCCCTGAACCCACCTGTGGTCGAGCCCTTCCAACATGTTTCCCGGAACCTGCTTTAGAACCTAGGAGCCTCGTTCTGGCCCATCGCAGCTGGGATGGTGGGACTCTGTTTGCTCAGCTTGGCCTCTCTCTCATGGCAGAGGCTGTTTTCAGCGAGAGATCATGCAGAGGGTCCTATGGCCATTAATAATTTGTTTTGAGAGAAGATCTAGTGTACCCTAGTTAGCTTTGAACTCAATATATATCTGGGGATGACCTTTTCTGAATTTCTGATCCTCCCGTTTCTACCTTCTGAATGCTGGGAATCTCAGGTGTGCACCAACACTTCCAATTTTAGGTGGTGCTGAGGGTCACATCCAGGACTTTGAGTATACTAGGAAAGCGCTCTAGCAACTGAACACACGTCCCTCCCTCAGTCCCTTTCTCTCCCTCCTCTCTCCCTCCCTCTCTCTGTCCCCACACTGTGGCCTTTGAACTCCGGGTGGTCCTCCTGCAGCAGTATCCCAGGTGTGAGATCTGAAGTCGGAGCTCCCATGCCTGACTTTCCTGCACCTCTGAGGTAGCCACCAAGTTCCGTTTGGAGCAGGGTAAGCTGTGGAGAGCCACAGCAGCCACGTTAATAATGCCCATGGTCTGCTGGGATGCTCTGTCTTTGCAAAGCACATTGACAGACTTTCTCTTCACCCTGAAGGAGGGGTGGGGCTGACAGTCCCGGCTCTGTGATTACAAAGTTGGAGAAGCTCTGGAAGCGAAAAGGTTTTGTGTAAGTTTGCAGCAAACTCATTTAGTGGCAAAAGCTGATGCGAGGCTATATTTATCCTGCTTTATTTTGCATATTCATATGTTTTGCTGCAAAAATATTAATGTGTTTGATTACAGAGTGCTGCCCTAGATGCCACTGGAGCTGGTAAACACAGGTCCCAATAAGCCTGACATCTGCACAGTTCTGATTTCTGAAGCTCCCAGGGGGTTTGCGTAAGGGATCATGGGCCAATATCAAGCTCCCCCGAGTTTTAGAGATAAGGAAAGATGGGAAGTGAGGAAGTGGCTTGCTGATGGTCACACAGCTATAAATGGGTAAG